AGGAAGATGCTGTGCTTTGTTTCTTTTGTTTGACAATCGCCAGGGTCTTACACAACACCCATACAAACTGATTTAACAGCAAACAGAACTGAAAAGGAAGAGGTGCAGGTAGTTCTTTATGTGAATTTAGTATTTGCTAAGAGTTTTATAGGGCCCTGAGAATATATAGAGAATATCTGCCCCCAAGCTTATGGAAAACCAGTGATTTTCCTGATATTTGGGAACGCACAAGATTTAACGAATGTCTCTTAGATGGAAAAAAAGATCCACTCTCGGTGGATAGGTGGAAAAATGTACAACCGCACATCTCTAGTCCATTTTAAGGAACATTTACGACACTTCGATGGTGAGTGTGCAGCTCCCCCCCGGCCCTGAGCTGAAGAGGCGCTTTTCAGATGAACTGTTCAGACCATGATTTTGTCTCCAAAGATGTGAGAATCAAGGCCTGTGCATTTTGCCAGTGATTCTTTCACAAGCAATCTATGGAGAAATGCAGAGGGTGCTTCACAGGTTAAAAAGACTGTGCTTAGTGGGGAAAAAGCTCATTTTCCTGAGACATCCACCCTTGCTTGGCTATAAAATTCCCACGTGATTATCAAGTGCTTCATGGATGACCCAGCCCTTCAAAGAAAGATGCTCCCTCTCTCCCAGAGAGATAAAGGGAAGTCTAAAGTTCTAAAAAAATTGTAGTGATTTAAACTTTGTGGCATTTTGTCCTGTGCTGTACTAGCAACACATTGTAGGAAATTCATCAGGCATTTTTGTTTCTTTCCAAATGTCATGCTGTTTTTCCTTCCACCTTTTCTGGAGCATTATGTAGATTCTTCTCTGAGAGATATTATGTCCTTTTTGACAACAATTACCATAATGTCAAGAGCCCTGGAGATCTTAAAAGCCCATTTGAGTCTGCTGCAATGATTATTTGAATATTTTTAAACTGCTAATGCATTTGGTGCACATTAGCTTGAAGGTTTTTTCTTCAGACTTTATGCATATTGACCATGATGTGGATACTTTTCCCATCTGCTCCTGGCATTTTAAAAGAACAGGCAATGAAAGGGTTTCATATTAAAGAAACGGGTAAAAATAGGAAAATATGTCGTTTCCATGTAGCAGCCAGACTTCTGCTCTGTTCCAGCTAGACTTCTGAGATCTGAAGGCAACTGCAAGATGAAAACTGGGCCTAAAAGAAGAGACTCAAAATTAAATATGCTCTTAAATTAAAAAATCCCCTCTTTTGAATAGTTTTGTATTTAAACTGCAAAGAGAGATTACCTTGAGTATTTTAAAATACATGCTCTGCATCATTCAGACAGAAAATGCCCGAATTTGAAACACAAACAAGTGTCATGGAAGCATGTGAAAGCTGAAGGGCAGAATGAAAAATCCCACACCCAAATCTGAAGAGCTGAACAGCAAAAGATGCTTTTCAAACCATGGTATTTTCTGACAGCACCCACATTAATGCTGGCTCTTTATCCAGTTACCTGGCCAAAAACCAAAAAGGTTTCTACTTTTCTGCTCTAATGTCAAAGTTTTGCTACTGTGCTCTAACCTCTGTTGGCACACGCAAGGCAAAGAAAGGAACAAATGTCCTCAAATGAAACTGCAGTGTCACACAAGTGCTGTAGAGAGGCATTTCTCTTCCCCATTCCTGATGGAGAGAGGTCCCAAGGCTTGGAGGATGTGCTGCAGCCCATCAGGGCTGGTTCCATTGGCAGCTGGAGCAGGAGTGGGATGAGTTGTGTGGGCACTGCCCCATTTCTGGTTGGCAGCATCAATCTGACACTCCACATGTCCAGCTGCTGCTCAAGGTGTTGCTAGAGGTTGTTGTAAGTCTGTGTGGATCTGAAGCAGCACAGGATCAGACACTGGGAATGCTTCATCCTCTTCTAATGCAATGAAGACATTTGTTTCAAAGTGCCTTGTCTTTCATTGTTCTCTTTCCAAACCTTCTGGCAGTGTGGGAACTCTTCCTGCACATTTCACTTGTTGGTCCTGACCCTTGTAAATCCATCTTAAGTTTACAAATGGATGTCTAGAAGCCAAAAAAATTAAATTCTTGGTAGCAACAAATTCTCATTGCCATCTTTTTGTTAAACCAACTTTCTTTTGGGAAATGATGTTTTGATGAAAACCAGAAATTTTCTTGCCTCATGAGGAGTTACTGATTTTAATGAGATCATTCACCTCCAGAAAACTTCTGAAAGTAAAAACTGATCTGCTTTGGATATGTCAAAATAAAGATTTTAATATAAAAATATTGTTATGCCTTTTCATTTATATTAGTTCGAATATTTCTTTATTACTTAATGTCTGTCATAAATATTACTTAATATGTTTTGTTAGGAATATGAGAAGTTACAGTGTGAAACAGACCCAGAAATAACACAACACTTACATGTTTTCTGACCTTTTCAATAAGTTTTAAGCACAGTTCCTACTGAATAGAGATTGAACTGGAAAAGCACCATGAAGCCTTTTAGTGTGTTTCTCATTTAATCAAGAAGAAAAGAGCAGTACTGGAAGCACTATTCAAGGAATAGGTGTTTTTGATAATCTGGTGTTTACCTGGGACATTTTTTTTTTAACATATAAAAAATGATATTATTTTATTAAAAAAATTGGAATTTTAGTCTTGTTTTGTTTTGTTTTTTTTTCTCCACAGCAGCAATTTCAGTATTTCAGTTATTACTCCTGATTCAGAAAGAAAGTAACTCTTCAAGCTTTAGAAAATAACTCTACAAGTGTTTCCAATGAACTCAAAACCCCATCGAACTCTAATAACCATCAATTTCCTTTGTCTTAGATTGGTTATGTGCAAAATGTTCTACAGCCACCTTTGCAAATAGGATCTACAGACCTTAGGCAGGCAGGACTGTATTTACATCCAGAGCAGACTTCGAGCTTTTAAGGGGTGCATCATCAGAATTTTCATTTTCATGCCAAACAGACAAACTCAGAGGCAGGACCTCGGTTACACACAGAGGAGAGGACAGCAAAGGCAGGGCTCAGTCCAGAGAGAGCCTGTTAAAAGCTAACAAGATAAATTCAGACATTCTGGACTTCTCTGTGCAGTTTTTTGTATGTGTGTAAAGTCTTTTATAAAGCGTACATATGAAAGTACATATAAGGAGAATTTTACTTTTCCTGTAGTCTATCCTTAGTTCTAAACATAATAAAAGAAGTCTTTAAATACATGAAAATATAGAGATAACCTGCCCAGTATGGCAAACTGTATTAGTCTATATTTTGAAAGACAAAAATATGAGTCATGCTTCTGGCAGTGTTTTAAAACTTTTGTATTACCCCAAAAAGGTCAAAGTATTGATGTTGCTTCTTATCTCTGTCTGCATTTCCATTGCATTTTAAAGTGTGTGAGGTGACCCGAGATTTTGTGGGGATTTATCTGCCCAGATTTGACTGAATACAACTAATAGTTTCTAATGATCTTGGGAATAGCATTTTAAGCACAGTTTCTGCACAATATCTACTCCTTAAGATTGAGGTCTTAAACCTCTTCAGTGCAGATAAAAAAAGCAATTCTCCCTTAGTCTGCTTCAGTGCAGACTGAAAAACTTTTCCTTCTAATGAAAATTTTTAGCTCAGTGGGATGAAGTTTTTGAAATAATTTTGCAGTTTTGTGTAGGTAGTATTCCAGAGGAGTGAGGGGAAAGGACACAGAATGCATTAGACTTAATTATGCAATTAATTCAACTTTTTTTTTCAGTAGGAAGCAAGCTGTCATCACAAAATAGCATGTTGTTGCACTCACAACCTTTCCTGAAAAAGCACGTGCTCTGAAAACGTGGAGACAGTTCTGTTCATGTGGTTTCTAAGAAGGACAGTGAAAGACTTTGCCCCTTTCCAAGGAAAGCCAGGAGCTCAGGGCCCTGGGAATGGACACAGTGTGTGACAGCAGGGTCAGATCTCCACTCCCACAAGCTCCTTAAATGAAACCCAAATTAGCCACAGGTCTGGCACTTAAACTCCTCCTGTGGTGAGCAGATTTGGGCATTGATGTGTCAGAGCCTGGCCTGGATTCAACAAGGGCGAGCCCTTCTCCTGAGGCTGGAACTGATAAGAGCTCTGGGTTTGCCCAGGGTGACATTCCCATACAGCCTTGGTTTTACCTGAAAACTGACCCTAAAGTATTGATGTGGCAGAGCAGGCTTTGCTTCTGGAGATCTGAACTTTATTTCAAAGGTAGCTGAGATTCAGGGAAGTTCTGGTGAGGATGTGTTCCCACCAAGGATGAGCAGATAAACAGAGAGGGCTTTGAAATTCTTCCAAAGAATAAGCAAAGCTTTGCTTCATTTCTTCTCCCTTATATGACTAACAAAGACCATTGATAATGACAAGCAAAATGTAAAATCTTCTGTGACTTTCCCTAGACTGGAAAATGGGTCAGAAATTCAACTTCTATAAGAATACAATGTCCATGGTTCCCAAACACCTCTTGCCTCCCTACATTGTGTTATTTGTTTCCCTTGCATACTGAAAATGCCCTAAAGAACAAAAAGGAACTTTTAAAAACAACATGTGTTTACGTAATGACAAAAATGGGATTGTTTAGAATAGTTTTGAAATTATTAACTGCTAGATAAAGATTATCTTCTAAATGTTAGAGTGTTCAGAAGTAGTTCAGAAATCTACCTTCAGCAATGAAACCCCTGTGGCTTGGAAAGGGAAAATGTAAACAGGTAGGCAGTTTAAAGCAAATAAAAAAGCGGTGGCATCTAATTTACATCTTACACACAAACAAACCAAAGTATTGCACATATTAAAATTCTTTTTGCATCTTTAGGAAGATTTCTAGTAATTTTACTTTGAAATTTACTTCAAGAAATTACCTACTGTACTAATACTTGATATCCATATAATTTTCAGTACAACTGCTTCAATTTTTAAAACAATCATCATCTTAATGGCTTGAATGTAACAGGAACATAAAAGTCCAATTCATGAAAATGGAACTGTACTTGCTTCAAGATGCTTACATCAAAGTCAGGCTCATATTTAAGACTCTATTCGGACTAGCTATTTTCTGTGTATAGTTCAGGATGCAGATTTCTAGAATGAGAAAGAGAAGTATAGTAAGAGAAACCCAGCAAAGTGAGAATGATAAGGAACAAAATTTCTGCAGATGAGACTGATTTTGTTTTGCCTCTGACTGTATTCAGGAGCTGGTAACTCCTGCTTTTCCTCTGAACTCAATGACAAGTGCCTTGTTTTAATGAATATATTCACCTCCTTATTAGCAAAAGTGACAACACCCAAACCCAAACAGGACTGCAGCTATGAAAAAATCACAAAGTGCTTGACTGCATTTGAAATGTCAGCACGAGAGATGCTCAGGAAGCTTTTCCTGCCCTGCAGGGAGATGAGGCTGGCTGGGCTCTGCCTGCACTGCTGCATCCTTTGCAGTGTTCCAGCTGCTGGACTCTGCAGCACGGAATTTATCTGGGGTCTCACCACTCCCAGGTTACCCATCCCTATGTAACTTTCTCCTGGATGTATGGTTGACATTTGCTCACCCTTTCTCAGGTGCTGCTAAGAATCAAGCAGCATCTGCCATATAAAGTGTGCTATGAAGTTCATTAACACTGATATCCACCTCTCATGTGCCTCATCTGACATACCTGAGAGTGTGTGAACATGCTGTAAACCCAAGGGGATTAAAACTGGGAATTTATATGTTATGATCTATTATGACACCAAGAAAGTGAAGCTAAAGGAGTAAAGATGATCCACCATTGCTAAAAAATACCATCCCAACTCTTGTTCCCTCAGATCCGGCCTTCTCCTCACCTTCTGAGTATTCAACTCTCATTTCCATATTTTTGTGCAGATGTCTCCCATGATTTGAGAAGAATGCATGTAGTGTTTATTATTGATGTGTCTTGGAAATACAGACCATCATGAAGAGCATGAGTGCTTTGTTTACTACTTAATGGCAAAGTGGTTGAATTCTAAAAAGGGCACTGTTATAATTTAAACATGAGTGGAAAGCAGGCAGCAAAGAGAAACAACCTACTCAGAATTCTACACTGTCTATAAGACAGTAATAACCTTCTGCCATGGAAGAGAAATAGAGGTAATTAATGCTTTTAAACTCCAGTTAGTAACAGCATCCCTTCCTTTCCATTCCTGCCACTGTTTAACACCACAAGGCAATACCTGAGCATGGGAATGGCAGATCCTGGAACAAGGTTGCAGGAAATGTAGTGGAATTGCTGTGGTAAAGTTCTGAAGATGCAAAACAAATGTGTGTGGTAGCAAAATGCCAACTCATCCTGAGCCCACATTGGCTATTTTAGTGGTTCCTCAGCTGTGTTTATAGAAAGGATCAGATTTCTGTGGGGAAAAAAAGGAAAAAAAATAACCATGCAGCACAGAGATAAGGAAATGAGAGAGCTTTAAAAACACAATCTTTGCAAACACTTTATCTGAAAAATCTATTAGGTTCTTATTGCAGGAAATACTCTTAGGAAGAGTGCCTCAATTTCATATAATCCTATAAACAAGGACCATTACTGCTCAGTGAATTTCTCCCTCTGGTGGGCACAACATGATAAACAAAAGCTAATATTTCAATCAGAAGATAATCTTTCTATTAGCCAGCAAAGTAAGGCCTGGAAAATCCCATTGCTCAGGCATGAGTTTGTCTGAATGAGCTCCCCAGTGTGAGGCTGAATGCTCCAGAACTCAGGGGCAGAGAGCTCTCAGTGTCTGTGCAAACAAACCCTGCAAGCAGCTCTTTCCTAAACACCTCCAGGGATATAGGGCACTCTAACTGAAGCCAAAAAAGAGAATATCTTTCTCTCAAAACAAAACCCAACCAAAACCCGCCACCAACAAAAAGGAACAACACCAGTTTCCCGAATTTTTTTCTGAACAAAGCAATGTTTTTGTTCAGCTTTGGGACACAGCTTCACTTTGGCTGCCTTGTGACCTGTTAAGCTGCAAGAAGGAAGCAGTGCATGGACTGATGATAATCTGAGGGGGGGAATCATGCCTAGGAGTCCAGGGAGCTCTAGGGACAACCTGCAGTGTCAGGACTGTATCAGGAAAAATAAAATTATAGTCAGTAAGAAGAGTACTTCAGCAATGTTTAGAAGTGGCATCAGAGAGTAAAGGAAATAAAGACATTAATTAAACACTTTGGCCTCCTTCAATTTTCCTGTCAAGGTGAGTCCAAGTAATCAACTTTCACATCATTCATAAAATTTGGCAATGAACTCCTACGGTGAGAAAAGCAACATAAACAAGCACCTGGAAAAATTATTTGATCCCACAGAGTCCCAGACCAGGGGGAAATATCAGAAAATGAGATGAAGACGGGGTCTGAACTCTAACAGGCAGATAATTCTCCCAAATTGGCTCCCTGTGCCAACTTCAGCTGTTTAAATACGACAGGATTGATCCAGCCAGTGCTAATCCCCCAAATCCCTTCTGCTGCTGCAAACTGCATGACAGCTTAGTGGCTCCAAGTCACTTCTCAGCCAGCGAGACACAGCAGGTGACTATTCCATAGCAGCAAGGTAAAATACACTGAATTATTCACGGCTGGTTTCCCTGCAGCCAGCAGGGCAGTGGCAGTCACAGGGTGCCTTCAGAGCTGCCCTGTCACCTGTGTCCTCCACCTTTCACCCTCTGCCTCTATAATAACAGGAAAGTCCATTATCTGGAAGGTTTTGGGGATGTTTTCATATTTTACCACTAAACATTGGGCTGGAGTATTACTTAAAATGTGTGAGGGAAGGTACAGTGAGCTGGCTCTGGGGTTTACACCTCCTTCAGCCTAAATTTATCTGTGTCCTCCAACAGCCACATTCACCTCCAAATATAGCTTACTCCCATCAGCCTAAACAGGAAGAGCCATCAGGTATAATATGAATTGTTCTAAAGTTTATTTTTTCTTCAAATAATGCCTTCATAAAGAATTCCAAATGTGACTTGACATTGTCAAAAGCTGGACTTTCTTTAGACAGATTTTTTTTTCTTAATGTCTCAATTACAAGTCTTTGGTTTTGTATTACACCGCAGATTTGTGAACATGGTGAAACACAGATTACTGCCCATGTAAAAAAAAAAATATCATGCTGGAGGCTTATCAGACTTTCCTTATAACTTCCCTTTTGTAGAAGAAACAAATTAATTTCTTTCTACTTTACACTGCAGCTTGTCTTTCCCCAGACTCTACCATTTTCATAGTATGTAGTAGTTAATAGCTATTCTGTAATTTTTGCAATTTATGCTCCATGGCAATCACACCCAGTGTATTAATAGAGGGCAGTTATATGCAGTATTGATTAAAATTTAAGAAATATTTCAGAAGACCATCGGTGGACAGCAGTGTCAGAGTAGAAAAGATTGTAATTTCATTATAAATATGTTTTTTAATTGTTTATGAATCTCCTTGCCTGATTAAATAGTAACAGATTTTGTGATGCCAAGGGAGGATTCAGTAGGAAGGTGTTGGTTGCCCAGCAGGGACATGGAAAACTCTGTCCCTTCCGCAGCCCCCTCAGAGATCAGGAGGTGGAGCTGGCACAGAGGATGCCCACCCTCCTGGCTGTCCTTTTCCTGAGTGGGGAGTGCAGAGACCTGTGAGGTTTGGGACATCCTCATTTTCATCTGTGACCCAAAGGAAAAAATCAGCCTCTGTATCCAGATAACGCCCCCAGAAACACAAAAAATATCTCAGGATACCCTTGGACCTACTAAAGGCATTGGCAACTGTTTCTATTCTTTTACAAATCTTAATTGACTCCTTCGATTCTGTCCAACTTCAGAATAAATGTAACGCCAAAGAAATGGGGAAAAAAAAGCCAAACAAAAAAATCTCAAAACTCAGAAAAGCTGGGGAACAACTTCAGTCATTTTTAGAGCCTGAAAATATTTGCTAATTCCTGCCTAGGTCTGCTATCAATACCTTTGGGCAAGACATCTTTCCTGGAGCAGTCCTGCCTGAGTCTTTGGTCACACTTTCCTGATCCTCCAAAGTATCCAGCTCCCCTGGGAACTGAGCACCTCCAGCAGGAATGACAGAAATAGAAATGTGAGAAGAGACTGTGCCTTAACATGCAGCTAAATGAATTCTTTAAAAAAAAACCAAAAAAAACCCCCAAAATTAAAGCCTGACACTGGCAAAAAAACTAGAGGAAGGAAGTGGAGGCAGTGACTCAGCCCGGTGAGCAGGGCAGGGGTGAGCAGGCAGGGGGCTGTGGGAGGGACTGAGCACATTGCCCATGGTCAGTGCCATGGCATCCACTGCATCACTGCTGCTGCAATTACAGCACCGCCAGCCCGGGGCAAGGCAGGCAGAAATTAATTGCTGATGGGCACATTGCTCTGAATCCCTCTGGGTCAAACAGACTGGAAATGTGGCCAGCTGAGAATGGACACAGAGATTGCTCACAATGGGGGGAGGAGGACAGATGCTTGTGCAGAGAGGAACACAACTGGGGCAGGTTTTAGGGGATCTTTCCATCCTGGAAGGCACTGTGTGATTTAAAATGTATTGGACAAATTTTAAGGAATGAAATAGTATTTCAAAAAACGTTTTATAAAAGGTTAAAATATTCAGACAAAGAGTTATTTGGGAATATATCTATCAATTGTGCAATTACTATGAAATGGGTGTTTCCAGATGAGGCAGTGCCCTACAGCCAACACAATGTGTCTGTCTGTGGTGCAGCACCACTTTCAGGAAATATTAGCTGGGCTGCTGCTGTGAAGTTCAGACTTTTTAATCAGCAAATCATTTTCTTCCTGTCGTGTGCTGCTGTGCTAAATTGCAGTGCTGAATCCAGAGAAAATTCTCATGGCACTACATGTATGGATTGGAAATTGAAGGCTTCCAGGCTCAGTAATTTCTTGATCAATCAGGGTAACAGAAAGCTGTGGTGGTTCAGAGTTGTACAGAGTGAGTACAAGTTCCTATTCAAGTGCAATACCCCCAGACTTACCCTGGGGTTTTGCCTATTTTACTCACAAAAATTGCCCCATGAGGAAAATGAGCATTTATCATTAGAGCTCATCCATTCAGTGTCATTTACAGTGTAATTGCATTAATCTGGCTACTCCTCTCACTGTTACTGGACATGCAGATTGGCAGACCAACAATTACCCAGGGACCATGGCTTTACAAGATGGTACAATTATGATTTTGTTTGATTCAAACTGAAATAAATACTTCTGTCTCTCTAGAAACAGCAACTAAAAGAGGTCTTTCATATCTCCTAATTTTAGAGGTTTAGAAAACCAACAGTGGATGCTAAAAACAAAGCACCAACTCCATAACCAAATCCAGTGGGAGCAGCTCTTCTTTTCCTCAAGTTAATAGCTCAATATAGAGGGGCTTTTCTTAGCTCAGTTCAATTCCCACATCACCCCGAGACAGTCTGCCCCAATACTCCTGCTTCCACAGCCTCTGAAATATTCCTTAATGAGGCTTTTCCAGTCTAACCTGCTGAATACTTCCCAGTTTTCCATTGATTATTGAAACATTATTTTTAGCAGGACTGGTTGTTCTCAGCATTTCCTTTTTTGTTTGACTATACAGACAAAAACACTCTTGACAGTAAAAAACCCAATTAATTGTTATTTAAAGTAATAATTCATAGTGCAACCCATGTTTATTACATTATCAAAATGGACATAATAATCCCATTTTAACATACAACAAATCAAAAATATTCACATCATTGATTTACCAGAAAGGAGAAAAACATACTGTTTTTCTGAGGTAAGAGAAGATAACTTTCTGGCAGATCCAGTTCACTGTCAGAGATCTGTTAATAAATCACATTTCTGAGTGTCTAAGGCAACACATCCCCTTCATTTTCCCTACTTGATTCTCACACCCTGACAGAAGGATTCTTTACTGCTTTTTCAGAGCCTTCATCCTGGTTGTAATTTTGCTCTTCCAAAGCTGAAAATTCAGGTTTGGAGGTGCTGGCTCATGGCCATTTCCAAGCTGAACACAATCAGAGATTTTTTTGTTATGGACAATCAGATCCTTTCCCTCTTTAGGAATGTTACTGTTATTTTCTCCTATTTATTTGATAACAAATAAACATTTGGTCCTTAAAACTAAACTTTCCTATCTCAGGTATTTCTTAGCTGAGCAATATTAATCCAGAGTGACAGCTGTAGCAACAAAGTAAAATCTGTATTTCTCAGAAGAAATATCTTTTTTAAATTTTCCCCAAAGGCTCAACATTTGCTGGCAATGAAATATTTTAAGTGTTTTGTCCTATGAAAATGGAACTCAATCACTGTCTTCTTAAGCCACAAACCCAGGACTGCAGTGGGACCATTCACAGCTTCTGAGCAAACCCCCCACCCATGCCTTGAGACTGTGAATTAATTTCAGATTGCTGCTGAATGCAGCTGGAAGGGGAAGGCAGAAAGGGCTGGGGGCTGTGCCCAGGTTTTGTGCAGGTAACAGCTGAGTTTAGGTATGGTACTCACAAAGCAGCTGAAATAAATCTCCATTTCCCCCAAAACCTGATTTAGCTGAGTGGAGAGGGGGAATGACCACACCAGGTAGCTCAGCTGCTCTAGCTTGGCTTAACACAGGCACAGAAAAGTGTAAATAAATTCAATCCACAGGAGGGAAATGATTGCCTGGACTGCTTGGGGCTACTGCTGCCTTTTTTTCTCTCCAGCAGCACTCCAGTGTGTTATCGGTGGTTCTTGATTATTTCTCACCATTCCTGCTAAAACCTTTGATTCCTACCCACTTCTTTTTGGACATAGTTTGAAAAGGAGCAGAATGGCTTTTAAAAATTGTATTTCAAGCAATTGACTTTTCTGGAAGGCTGAAACAGCGAGGCCATTGTGCAGTGGCAGCACCAGGGAGCAGATGGTGACACTGATGCCAGTCACTGAGAGGGATGAGGCTCCTGCTAAGTGATGTCTGTGCAGATGAGTGATTTTCCACACAGAAAAATCTCTCTATACAATCTGTTACCCTTTTGCATATTCATTTCATTCTATACAATATTCAACCACTTTTTGCTGTACCTTCCTGAATCTTTTTGCCATTATAAAAAATACATTTATATCTCGTGCCTGTCACTCACTTCTGTGCTTATCTGGCTGGTGGAAGGGAGCAAGCTGAAAGTACAGCTCAAGTTCTTTCAGTAGCACGGACATGAAGGGTGCAGAGGTGCCAGGAGTGCTGCTCTGGGGGGGACAGTGAAGTCACATCTGTCCTGTCACTGCCTGAAGCTGCTGCCCTGGTACAAGGTGCTGCAGAAATGAACGTGTGCTGCTCCCTGAGCTGACACAAACCCTCTCCAGAGGAGGCTGGAGCTGGTCCTGCAGACCCAGATGTGCAGAGGTGACACATCCAGCTCTGCCATCTCCATGTCAAGTCAACCTCAGCAGAAGGTTGGAAACCTCAGAAGAGGTGGGAAAGCTGTAAGGTGTCAGAGCCCTAACCCTGCTCTGGGTCTCAGGACACCTCAGGAAATGAGATGCCACTCAAAAAGCAGCTGAAATAAATCTCCATTTCACAAATAAGTCTCCTGTGAGGCAGGCACAACAGGGGAACACCACACCTTCCAATCAACATGGTTTTATAACCACTGTGGCTTCAAATAATATATTTCCTTTAAGGGGAGAGAAGAACAGGCAAGTTCAATAGGGGCAACTCCCCTTCAAGAAAAATTAAAATACACTCTGATCAGATTTTAGATCAATTAGAAACTTTTCACTGGTCTTAAAATCAACTTGATTTTAAGTTGCTTGCCCTATTTAGGTCAAATTTTAATGGAAGAACAAAATTTTTTAAAAAGAACAAGAGAAGAAAACTCACACTGGTTTTGATGTTGAAGCAAAACACTGTGGCATTTGCTGGTGAAACATCCTAATGCTCCCCTCCCCAGCCAGCAGACAGATGGTAGAGCTGGGTTATGGCATCTTATGCATCATTGATGTTCACACATTTAGAGTGTTAAACCATGACAGAAATGAGTTCGGATCCTGATACCTCAGTGACATGACACCACTGCAAATAAACAAGAGCAAACATTAGAGCAAAGTAGATAAAGATGATAAAGATTTTGAGATGCTGAGCAGGGCACCCGTGGTGCATCCTGAGCAGCCAGGGATTGCAGCAGGAATCTCAGATATTCGCTCAGTGCCAGTAATGAGAAGAAACAGTAGGTTAAAGAGTACAAAGATATTTAGAAATTATCTTTAATGTGTGAGTCAACAAGCCACAGAGTGTTAACCATGTATGATCTCCATGGGCTGACTCTGGGCTCCCTCTCTGAGGGGAGGAATAAAAAGCTCATAATTGCTGGTCCTGGCAGGGAAACAGAGGGAAAAGAGCTGCAGCAATGGCAGCAGAGCTGTAGGGGTCCAAATGTGTGAGCTACTGTGGCTATACCTTCTCTGGAGGGAGCCTGCACAATCCTAGGGCATAAACAGCAACAGCTGCTGCATCCTCACCCTGCTCTGGCAAGTGGCAGGTCCTTCTTAACCCTAGGGGAAAGATTGAAATTATATATATATATATATATATGTATGTATATATGTGCCTCCCAAAATATCTTTTTAAATGGGATACACACACACAAATATATATACATACATACATACATACATACATATACATATATATATATATACACCCACCATTTTTTCCTAGCAGTTTCCAAGTCTTTAAAAAGCCACAGAGAGAAAAAAAAAAATAAACAAATAAAACACAACCAAAATTCTGTTAATCTTTTATAAAAACACATACTTTACAAAAATCCCCCAAGTCTTTTGTAATATCTTGGAGTGCTAAAAATAATTTTGCAGCAAACAAAAGTCAGTACTAACCAGCACTAGTGGTTCCCAGCATTGACCAGGGACTTTCTAAGGCAAAAACCTTTAAGGATCTAGTGAGAGGATATCAAAATGAAGAATTTAGTTTGAAGTCTAACTGAAATAATTTTAATTAATAATGCTGGGTTTGAATATCAGAGAGGAATCCAGGCCAGGATAGCTGGACCCTGACTGTGTGACTGCAGTCTTTACACACCAAGCTCAGCAGTTCTCTGCTGTTTTCCCCGAGAAACAAGGCACTATTTGACACCAGGAGCTGCCTCACTTTAATATGGACCAAAATCCATGAAATTCATTCATGTTACTCCTTCCACCAGTCAGTTTTAAAACTCCATGTCTTACTTGCAAAATTCCTTGGGCGTTTCCCCCTGAGGACCTGGGTTCTCCTTGACCAGGGTGGCAGCCCAGAAGGATAAAACCCACAGAAGAGGAGCACTGACTTGCCTCCAAATTCTGAAAGGAGCTTTTGGCAGCAAGAATTTGAGAAGCCAGAAATGGCTTGGGTTCCACCTGGTGGCCAGGAGACCACCTGTGATAGCCACAGGTGCCCAAATGTCCACCTCGATGGCCACGGGTCAGGAGAAGCATCCCAGGAGCAGAGGGGAGCTGCTGCCATGAGGGTGGGAGCAGCAATGAGGGGGCAAGGAGAGCCCCTGGGCTGCCCTGGGGATTCCCCTGGATTAGGCAAATTCTGGGCATCACCAGCTCCTGAGTGGGCACCAGGCTGCTGCCAGGAGAAGGGAACAGGTCTCAGTGTTCTCCAGTTTCTCCCCAAAAGTGGAACCCCAGGGGATTATTGCCACCAGGAATATTCACACCCAACCAACTCCTGGCAGGATACTTCTGCAAGAAATCTCCTGTCAAAGAAAACAACCAGCAGATGTCATTGTAGGATAAATTGTTGGAGAAATGTTTTTCAAACTGCACAAAGCTTAGATTATTTCACTGGTTCTCCATCAGTCCCATGCAGAGCATCAGTGGGACCATATGTCCTGTTTTCCTTCCCTCATAATGAGAGGAACTGAGAACTTGGATCACATTTGTAAGTTGGATTTCACAGTAAGTTAAAGTCAGAGCAAATAGCCTCACACTGCACGGTCCCTCAGCTGTACAGCTTCTTTTTCAGTGTGATGTTTTAAAATTTACTTTCTTCCACTTGTATCAGTGGCTCTATGAAATGTTGTCCCTGTGTATAGACATTTTGATTCACTTTCTGATCCCTGCTGGGTTTTCAGCAACGCTGTCACTCTCAGAAAAACATAGTTTGGTGTAAATCAACAAATGACACTTAACATCAGTTACTTTTCCTTAACAAAATCTTGGCCAAAATAACTTCAGCTGTTGATTTTGACCTCCCAGCCATATCCCACAGGATCAGAGATGATGGGAACATCCTGAATCTCCCCCCTGACATCCTTGCTGTGGGACACCAACATGGAGCAGCTCTTTCTGCTGATTCCAGCCACCAGGACAGCAGGGCTGAGCTACCAACCACCTTTCAGGTGCAAACCACCCTCTAGCCATGGTGCCCCACTGTTCTCAGCTCAGAGCTCCTTCCCTGCCAAGCCCTGCACTGCTGCACTCTGTTCCTGGGCTGTGGTTTCCCCAGTGACAGAGAAACCTGCTTTATTGTGAGCAGTGAACGAGCATACATAATTAAAAACAGAAGCAGGGAACATCTCTGCTTTGTAACAGCTTTCTTTATTGGCTCTGCTGGCAATATTCCTGCTCCAAATGGGAATTTGAGTTACTGACCACCAGAGGTCCTCTCCAGCCAACATTTCTCTCATTCTACCGTTTTTTAATATTTGTTCCCCTCTTTGGTCAGGGGAAGAAACTGGAAATCTAAAAACATTATTTTTGGCAGAGACTAGGAGTTTTAATATTTAGGATTTTATACATGGTATTTTGGATTCTTTTGCAGGTTAAAACCTGTTCACAAGAAGAGTGTCAGAGATAGCAATCATCAATATTCATATCCAGTTAGGTAAGAGAAGGGAAAATGCTCCTGAAGATGTGTCTGGCCTTCATGCCCAACTATTTTCTCTGATAGTCAGTGGGGGAAGAAGAGGGGAGAGGGTGTTTATAAAGGAATGTAATTCCTTATGAAAAAATATGTATTGACATTGATATTTTTCTTACTTTTCTTACTTTTTCTTACTTTTTCTTATTATTCTTGCAACTGAGTTTAGGCCAGACACTACATGTCCAAGAGCTCTGCTGGGTGCCACTCAAACAGTTGTCACTTAGGCTGCCTAGGACACAATTTCCAATTTCCTTTTGACCTGCAAAACACAAGCACAGCACATGTTTATCCTCAAGCAAACAGGGCCTTTCCCAATAAATAAAAATGCCTTTCTTTTGCAGGTTACAGGACACAATTTTTCTCTCCTACAAACCATGGGACAGGCCCCTGGTTTTCTATGAACCACACTCTCACTTGGTGCTTGCAGAGTTCCACGGAGCACTGGGATGGATATGAGAGAGATCTGTCCCTTGAGCTCCAAATCCAGACCTAATAGTGACTTTCTGTACATGTGTTGACGTGCTGGTTCCTTTTATCAGGAGGCAATATGTTCTACACAAACCCTTCCTGCTGACAGCTCCTTGTAGCTCATCACATCCACCAGGGATCTGGGTTGAGGCAGTGGCACCTTTCATGAAATTTCACAGATGGTGACACACCACAGCGTTCAAGGAATAAAAATATGCCCCCTCCATTTTTGCTGCCTGGGATCTGGCCTAATCTTATGACATTCATATTTGTATACCTAAGGTGGAAGCAGCTATGAAATAAATGTTGTGATAAATGAATAATACAGCTAAGATATAACTCCACAGGGAGCCAAAGAAAATCAGGGTTGCAAACCTGAGCCCTGCAAGGCAATGGAAGGTGTCCCTAAACCAGCTCTGTTGGATCACACTGACATGCATCATCATTAATTGCACCATCCCATAATGATTCCTCCACTGGCTCATCAGCTCACAGGATGGATGGTGTTCCCTTAGTCAGCAGCTGTTCCTTGTTGTGTTTTCTCTTCATTCTTCAGTTTGTTGCCCTGTGTGTTATTTATTGCAATGAATTACTGATGTGTTCTGAGATCAGGATTATTCCTCTTTTCACCTGAGATCATAGAGGCCAAGAACTCAAATCAAACAACCCCCTCCTTTCCTACCTTCCCTCTAGGAGCAAATAACCCAGCAAGTTCCCTTCCCTGCACTCTCTCTTGTCTACCAAAATGGTTTCATTCTTTCATTATCTGCACATATTTCTGTTTACCTTGTCTCCTGGTTCAGACTGTGAATGGCTTGGGATGAAATACCCTCGTGCTTTGAGCTGGCCAAAACCAAGAAACCAAGCAGATTTTCAGCAACATTTGATGCTTCTAGCCTTTTCTGCTGACAAGTATTTTGTCTTCCTTCTTGCAGGATTTTCTTTAGGCTTTTCAGTGAGCTCAGGGGGACACAGGCTTGTCAGCAGGAAATCACAGTGAAGGACGATTTAGGAAACTCGGAGGTGGATCAGCTTTAATGGAGTCACACTGAGATGCAGCAGGCATGAGGACCCCAAATCGTCCTGGCATCAAACAGAATTCCTCAAAGGACACCACCACAGAGCTCAGAACCCCCAGCCTTAGGGACTGGCCCCATTGCTGTCCTTTCTGTCTCTGATTCCTTATATTGATATAAACTTCCTCCAGGAGATTTATACAGACAGATTGGCCAAACTAGAAACAAAATCAGTAACAACCCCTTCCCAATTCCCTCTCAAACCCACAACCACCATTTAAAAAAAGCCTTTGCCTCCTGTGAATAAGGAAGCTTGAGGAACAGAGCTAATAAGCAGCCAGACCATCCTTTAGCTCTGTCTGTAGGGACACATTCCCACAAAGTTGCTGTCTCAAACTAATTGCCTGTGCTGACTCATTCACAGAACCATGCTGGCCGCAGCCTGTAATTATCATGTCATAATTATCACTTCAATAGCAGAAAGAGTGCACTCTTATCTGATATGATAAAATAGTTCAATTAATTTTAAACAGAGGGAAACACTAGTACATCCTTAGAGCCTGGCCACAGAGACAAAGCAAGCTGTCAGAATCAGATTATTGATTTCATGTTCTCTCCTGGCTTTATTAATTTTTGCTCAGGCATTACAGTCACCACTTTTCATGCACTTAGTAGATTTTAATTTGGCATAATACAGGAGCAAAAGAGTAAGAGTAGATATAAATTCAGGAGAGAGACAACGATAATGGAGAGAGGTAAACTGTGTGTAATATTTACAGAGGAGAAAGTGGTGATTTCAGCAAGCAGGAATTCTATCCCACTGAGAAAAAGGGTAACAAAGTGAAAAAGTGGAGAGGAATTACCCAGTCCTTCAGGCTTTTCCTCATCCCTGGTGACAATGTTCTCCACTTTGTCCAAAAAAGGAGGAAGATTTTCCTTGGCCCTCCTTTTGTCCTTAATGTATTTATAGAAACACTTTTTATTATCTGTATTTGTATCTGAAGCAAGGGAATTCTACAATGGACGAGAACAAAAGCACCCTTTAATGATGATAGTTCCAATTTTTCCAGCTTGATAGCTTTCAAAAGCAGATTCCTTTGAGCTTTTTCCTGTCATGTGCTCCAGGGGCAAATGTTGTGTATCATGT